TATATAATAGTTAATCCATAAGTTCACTTTTCAGGAAAGAGATAGACACATGAAAAAAAAAATCACATTGGGAACCATTAAAAGTGATAAGAAGATTTACATTATAACTCAATTTTTTTTAAAATTTTTTCTATCTTATTTCTCTCTCCTCATTGTGTCTATCTCTTATTATGGAGCAACTTATCACTTTTGATAAGTCCGAATGTGATTTTCTTTTTCTTTTATGTGTCTATCGCTATCATGAAAAGTGAATCCATTGAATAATTACTCTATACGTAAACTAGTTACTATTTCAATATTATAAAATTTCTTAGACTTGATATTAACAACTCATGCTTATCTAACTTCTAATCTTATCACTTAAAAGTAGATAAGACGAAAAACATGCCTTAAAGTTTGAGCAACATGTGCTTATTAAAAAATTTAATTTCGTCGAAAGATAATATGCTTATAAAAATAATAATTTGGTTTCAAAAACTAATTATTAGTCTTTTTCTATTTTTAATTTATTTTTATTTTTTTTAAGAAATAAAAAAATATATATAAGTAAAGATATAAAAAGATCAATGAGAAAAAAAAGATATTTAATAAAATAAAAAAATATTAAATTAGTCATAGTGAATACTAGCTTAAAAGACTAAATAATTAGTGTTTAAAATTGAAGAGAGTAATTAATTGATTTCTTGAAATGAGAGGGACTAATTTAGAATTCACTCTTCTTTTAATAATTTTTTATTTAAAATTTCATTGATTATGTTTAGAAAAGTTAAATGAAAAATTAGTCAAAATTAGGCTATTATTGACCTTAAAATTAAAAAGGGCCAATTAAACGGATGAAGTAACATTATTAATCATGATCTCTTAATGCATATCCTTGATTATAAACTTAAAAATCATAGTTCAAGAACCTTGTTGTTGCATTAGTTAATGTAAATCATTATTAAAAACGCAAGCAAAAACAAAATGAAATAAAGTCCAAGATATTAAACCCTAATGGAGGAATTTAATCCATCGGGATTAAATATACGAGATTAATAGCTTAATCGTTTTTATATAATAAAATAATTGCTTAATCTGTTTTTATATAATAAAATAATTCTTTAATATGCCTTTATATATTTAATTGAGTTAATTTTATCTTTAAATACAAGGTAAGTTCTCAATCTATCATTCTCGTCAAAATATTTAGAGCAAATTAATTATCAAAATTATTTAAGTAATTTGTGCATGATTATTTTTTAGGGTTGATACCCACACTTGTCTTTATATAACAGCTTAATTTTCCAATCTACTCATTAAAAAAAAAAAAAACCTTCTAATATATCCTTATATTTTGAGCTTGCTTCTTATTTATCCTTTTGGTCAAAATTTTCAATCAATTTTACAATTTTTTTATTAGTAGATATAGATTACTCGTGTCAAATAATAAAAAGTAATTTTGTTAAATTTCATATCATATGCAAATCATATATTTAATTTCGCTTAATTTAGCTAAAAATCTCAATGAAAATGATAAATTAAAAATCAGTTTAAAATATAAAGACATATTAGAAGCTTTTTATTTAAAAACAGATTAGAAAATTAATCTATTATATAAGGACATGTGTTGCTATTAATCAAATTTTTTATTATTAAAATACATTTACAAACCAATCAAATAGAAATTTTTACTTCCAAATCGTATGACTAATTCCAACAATAAATCTAAAAAGCTTATTAAAAAATAGATTAGATACTTAATATATCTCCACGAATAAAATTAATTCATATAAGAGCAGATTAAAAATTTACTCGATTATATAAAAACAAAGTTAATCCTAATAAATTAAACTTGTTGCTCTTACCAAGACATATGAGACTCAACTTGATATTAACAAGTCGTGCTTATCTAACTTCTAATCTTATCACCTAAAAGCATAGAAGACGAGAAGCATACCTTAAAAAATGTGAGCAACATGTGCTTATTGAAAAAATCAATTTGGTGTCAAAAGATCCTGCATGCATACAAATCTTTCGTCATAAAATTTAAATATTCTGGGGTCCAATTATATTTTATCTCGGAGTTTGGATTTGTTTTAAAAGAAAAATCTGCTTTTTTTTTCTTTCTTTTTCTTTTGTAGAGAAGTTTATCTTGGTTTTGTCTACCATCAATGACTTTTATAAGCCTCTCTCTCTCTCTTTACTATTATATAGTTAGCCTTTTTCTTTTATATATATATATATATATATATAACTTTTCTAATTTTAAAAATTTTAAATTTAATTATTTAATCAATGCTAATCATATTTAATTTAATATTATTTTATTATAAAAAATAATTTTTTTGATTTTTTTCATAATATTTATATTTTCTTGTTTTTATTTTTTGAAACAAAAAACAAAACAAATTAGAAAACAGTATGAATGGATAAAAATGATTGAATAGGACTAATTTTTTTTCATTATATATATATATATATATATATATATATATATTCATGTTTCTACTTTTCAAAACGAAAAAGAATATGAAAATATAAAAACAAAACAAAACAAATTAGAAAAGAATATGAATGGACAAAAATGATTGGATGGGACTGATTAATTGATTGAATAGGAGTAATTTATAATTTTTTCGATTATTTCATAATATATATATATATATATATTCATGTTTCTATTTTTCAAAACGAAAAAACAAAACGAATTAGAAAAGAGTATGAACGGACAAAAATGATTGAATAGGACTAATTAATTTATTTTTTAAAACTAGGGGGACTAATTTATAATTTACTCAATACGTCATCGATCCTCATTTTTCAAAAATTGTGGAATTTTAAATCATTTTGTGACTTTTTGCAACGCCTAGATTTCTAAATTCGAAAAAAAAGCAAAGCCCACCACGTTGCTAAACCTAACAGTTTTTTAACAACGAGTCAGATAATAAGATATTCATTTTATTAGTTGATGACCAAGACATATTTAGGACCCCACATTCCCAACTTCATCCCATCCGTCCGATCATTCTATTGACACACTTGGCAGTATCAGACGATCACTTATCTCATTAAGAAAGAAGAGCCCATGATTCGAATTACGATCTTAGATCCTAAGCAATGCCGGTTTGTACCTGGCTAATTGTGCATTTGGTCCCTTTAATATTAGGTTTAGATCTCTTAAGTCCCTTTACTTTTTTATTATTATCATCTTCTCTACTCTATTTTTTTCTTTTTTGATCATGCTACTCTCTGTTTTATTCTAGCATGATCCTATGGTCAGTTTTCATCAAACACCATAAATGATATTGTTAAACCATTCTATTATTTGTTTTGGAATAAAAAGAATATTGCTACATTTAACCCAAAAAAAAAAAATTCCCTAATAACTCATGAATAGATACAATGAAAATCATTATAATTTTAATATTTCAACTAATTATAATTATACGATTGGCGACTTGGTTGATCATCTTAAAAACTCAATATTATTATTATAAAAAATATCATAAATTAATAGTGAGTGTATTTGTAATTATTATCATAATTTTTTTATAAATAATCATTTTAATATACTTGTATATTTTAAAGATATTATAAAAAAATAAAAATATAATCCAATCTAGTCTGGAACTTGATATGCATCGAAGAAGAGATAGGCTAAAAAAAAAACCCTACTTTTAACCCTTTATAATCCCAACCTTTAATTTTAATTTTTAACTGCAATTGATTGCAAAAGTAAGAAATTGAGGAATAATGTCAGGACGATAGAAGGACTAAAATAAGATAAAATTGAATGAAGGGACCAAATATACTATTAACCAAATGACATGTACCTAATGGCATATTCAAGTATCTTACTATCAAGACATGCCGTATAAACTGGCTTTAAGATTTCTTATTATTACAGCCTTTTTATTTTCATTACCAAATCTATATTGTCCCAAACCGAAAAAAAAAAAAGAGGGTCGAGGGACAAGTTTGTCTAGTCTTCCTTCTCCGCTTTGTATTCTAACAACTCAGCGAAAGGTAAGCTGAATGAGTCACTGTTGAATTTTCCATCTTTTTATCTAGATTTTGTGGGTTTTTCTGTTTTTTTTTTTTTTTTTTTTTTTTTTTGTTAAAATTGTATTCTCTATATTGGTTTATTTGTTGTTTGATCATTGCTGCGTGAAAGTTTTCACCTTTTAAATTTGAGCTTTTGTGGGTAAGTTTTAGTTTTTTGAAAAATGATTAAATCTGCAGATTGTTGTTGTTATACTGTTTGATGAGCAATTCAAGGGGTTTGGCTGTGGAGTTTTAATGACCCAACAAGGGTTTATTATCCTACGTTAGGTTTTTAGTTCTAAAAGAAACAGACTTTATGATTTGTTTGAGATTAATTTGCATACCATGAACTTTCTTTTCTTTATTCATGGCATAGGAAAATAGGGTTTGGACAGTGTGTGTGTGTGGGTGGTGGTGGTTTGGGTGGGGGGGGGTGTTTGGGTGTGGTGTTGCTAAGGATATAACAAATGCATGTGAAATATGCTTTGCAAATTTCTCAGCTACAATTCGTTTAATTTCTTAGCATGTAAATGTGATCTTTTTTTTTTCCCCTTATTTTCTGTTTGCTCTTGTTTTGTTGCACAGGTCATAAATCCTGTTTGTTTGTGTAGATTTGCGATTGTCCTGCTGAAGGTGTATCCCCTACGCTGTGTCTCAGCATTCTTAAGGTGATCTTTGACTGAGAAACCCAGGGAATGCTGCATGATGTGCCTGAGTGTTTGGCAGTCCGTCTCTAAAGCTCATCAGGTTCCAGCGTTGTTGGAACCGCCTTTCTTTGTTCTTGATGAGATTGGATTTGTAAATTATTCTTCCTCTTGCTTTTGTGCTCAAAAGCATAATAAACGTTCAAGTTGGTATAATCTTTGTGAAGACGGTTGAGCCGCTTCTGCTTTATATATAGATCTTGTTTTTTAGGTTGATAAGTCATATAGGAAGAGAGTGTTGTATATTATAGTGTATTTCAGGATTAGCTTGGGATGGAAAATAAACCAAGTGTGTTGACACAGAAGTATGAAGTGGGGAGATTGCTTGGCCAAGGCACCTTTGCCAAGGTTTATTTTGCAAGGAGCATCAGAACGAACCAGAGTGTAGCCATTAAAGTAATTGACAAAGAGAAGGTCTTGAGGGTTGGGCTTGTTGATCAGATCAAGAGAGAAATATCTGTAATGAGACTTGTTAGACACCCTAATATCATACAACTTTATGAGGTCTTGGCCACCAAAAGTAAGATTTTCTTTGTACTGGAATATGCTAAAGGTGGTGAACTCTTTAACAAGGTCGCCAAAGGAAGGTTAAAGGAGGATGCTGCCAGGAAGTATTTTCAACAGCTGATCAATGCAGTTGATTTCTGCCACAGCAGGGGTGTTTATCATCGTGATATAAAGCCAGAGAACCTGTTGTTGGATGAGAATGAGAATCTGAAGATATCTGATTTTGGGTTGAGTGCCCTTGCTGAATCCAAGCGCCAAGACGGACTACTCCACACGACTTGTGGGACACCTGCATATGTTGCTCCTGAAGTGATCGACAGGAAAGGTTATGATGGCGCCAAAGCTGATATTTGGTCCTGTGGTGTGGTTTTATTTGTGTTATTGGCTGGTTATCTCCCATTTCATGATTCAAATTTGATGGAGATGTACAGGAAAATAGGCAGAGCAGAGTTCAAATGCCCTAACTGGTTTCCAACTGATGCTCGTAAGTTGCTGCGCAAGATCCTGGATCCAAATCCCAATACAAGGATCTCAATGGCTGAAATTAAGGAAAGTTCTTGGTTTAGAAAGGGGTTAAACTCTAAACAAAGTAAAACTGAACCAGAAAGCAGGGAAGTAGCTGCTCTGGGTAGGAATGGTTCTGGTCCTTCTGAGAATAGCACTGGGGTTTCTGAGCCAAAGCAAGAGTCAGCCAAACCTCCCAATTTAAATGCTTTTGATATCATTTCCCTTTCTGCTGGATTTGATCTATCTGGATTATTTGAGGAAAGGTATATGAAGAGAGAAGCAAGATTTACTTGTATACAACCCGCCTCAGTCATCATCTCAAAACTGGAAGATCTTGCTAAGCGACTAAAGCTGAAGGTGATTAAGAAAGATGCAGGTTTGTTGAAATTGGAAGGAAAGAAGGAAGGTAGAAAGGGGCTGCTGTCTGTTGATGCTGAAATCTTTGAAGTGACTCCAAATATCCATTTGGTGGAGGTGAAGAAATCTAATGGAGATACACTAGAATATGAGAAGATGTTGGAAGAAGATATAAGGCCTGCTCTCAAAGATATTGTTTGGGCCTGGCAGGGTGAGCAAGAACCGCAACAGCAGCAGATGCAGCAATCACATTGACCAAACTCTGCAGCATCAGTTTGCTTGAGATATTCTCTTAATGCCAATTTTTCCGTTATATATTATGTTTGTACAATTTCATGAACTTCACATTTCTATTTCCATGCCTGTGCTTGAAAGTGTTAGACGTCTCCGGCCTCCCTCAATCTGTCTCATAGTTTCTATATCGTGAATGATGACTTCATTTTAATGCTCATAATTCTCGAGTTCTTGAATTGCATGTTCAGTTTTCCTTTGATTTTCCTTTAGATAACATTTTCCAGGTATTCTCCATCCACATGTTCAGTTTCTGTTCTGCTTGCACTGAAAGTTGATATTGTGACCTAGATGCTCCAATTGGATTACCTTGCTGATATATATTGGTGAAACAAAACAAGTGCTACTTCTTGATAACTTCTTGTTTGATATTACTTCTTATTTAGATTGCAAGAAGAGCTACATGAATGGTTTGCATCCATGAGTGAATAAGCGACACCGACAATCGTTGACATTGCATCGTTTCTCCCTGTTGTGTTCAGGATAGCGCTAGTCCATTTTGAAATCCTTATAATTTCAAAAGATTTGTACTTGATTATGTTAAATTTCAGTCTCTAATGAGCTATGGTCTTGTCAAGTCTATTTTATGGCGCTATGTCCTTGTCAAGTGAAACAACCTACATGTAGCACCAGGTTTTGCACCGTCCATGAACTTTCTTTTGAAAGTTGGTAAGAAACAGTTTATTTGTGCTTTTCAAACAGAAATATACACTTACACTAATGTGAAATATTGATTTAACATGATTTACTATCTTTGTACACCTGAAGAAAAAGTTGCAGTGGAGCACTCCTATCCAAAAAAATAAAAATAAAAATAAAAATTCTGTATCCTATATCAGAAGAATGATCCTTTTTCCATGTCCAAATGGGACACTAGTGCACTAAACTAATTTAGTTCACCCATGTTTGTCTGAAAGTTGTCCTAACATGGTTCAGCTTCACAAACTATGTTTTATGGGGTTCGGTCCAAGTGATAGCGAGTCTTACTTGGGTTCACATGGACACAACTACCAGGCTTGGTAAAGAACCTTTTTTGACAAGATAAAGAGCATGATGTTTGATTATCTGGACCCTCATTGATTCTTGTTGTCCAGATCAGAAGCAAGAAAGTGGTCCAATAATCATGTGATTGATAGCTTAAGCCTCCAGTTTTCTGTGGTTAACAGTATTTCCAACTGTCTTCATCTCAGGACAGAACCACAAGATCACTGGTTAAAATTGTTCATTAACCTTTTATCTTGCTTCTGTGGATTCAGCTACAATGAAGGGGCCCACGGGGACAGATTGCTAGGCAAGTATTTCCTTTGGAAAGTCTGAAAATGATTTGACATAGGATTTCTTTATACGTATCTGTTCACGTACAAAACATATCTTTCTTGTCACTTGTGATGTCTGAAACGTACAAATCAAATTCTTTTTCTTCGTAAGTTGGTGTTTCCTAAAGCTAACCAAAACCAAGAGTATTAATTTCATAAATAAATAAATAAAGGCCACTAATGCATCTTAATCGTGAATGCCAAGGATTTATGGTGTTTACCTTTGAAGACACACAGCTAGCCAGGATGCTCTAGACTCTAGTATTTAAAGTAAAATAAGTCATCATTATCAGCAAAAAGGTATTCCTGACGCTTCTTGTTGCTTCCAGTTAAAAATAACAACACTCACCCATCATGTCAAAAAGTTCAACCTCAAATGATGGTATAAAGGAGCAGGTGTTATAGCAAATCTACAGTTCCCATGCATAGACTGTCAGGACTTGGGAGCACATAGAGACACAGGTTTACCCACTTTCTGAAATGGTGCAGGTTCCATAGTCATGTCCAGGTTTAGGACAAGGAATTTAATGTCAAATGAAGGTATAAAGGAGCATGTATCATAGCAAATCTAAAGTTCCCGTGCATAGACTGTCAGGACTTGGAAGCACATAGAGACAAAGGTTTCCCCACTTTCTGAAATGGTGCAGGTTCCATTGTCATGTCCAGGTTTAGGACAAGGAAAAGCTAAGTGCAAGTTCAATGCGATTCTTATTAGAAAACTCGCAGAAGTAGAAGCTCTGATTAACCTTGGGGAAAAAAATTGACAAATTTAATTGACCATTTCCAATCTAAGAAACAATTTGAAGGACTGCCAGTGTAAACAGACTGCGCAGCCTAACTAAATCCCATTATGCAACTAGCAACCAAGAAAATATCAGTAAATGATCCAAGCAGGATCAGTAAGAATAGTTTATATTGGAATACAATTACAATCTAGCCAAAGAAGAATCTGCAGAATCGAACTGTGTACTTTTCCCATTATTTGTTGCTGTTATGTCCAAAACTCGGTAATTGGACAAACTTAGGCTAAGTTAAGTCAATAATTACAGGATTCACAGGAGAAACTCTTCCCTTCTTGCTGCCTGACCTAATTCTGCATTCTGGAGATGGGGACAGCAAATCTATAACTTCAATATCCTGAGGGATGAATGAACTTCGGGTCAGTTCTTTATCTTTACCAGTGCTTATTTTGCTAGAAAGCATCTTCCATTTTGGCTGATCCAATTCAGAAGCATCCTCATCAATCAATGTCAATACATCCCCATCAACAATCGAAGATGCTTTGTTTGTCGGCTGATTCATGAAACCAAATGGTTGTGCATAATCTAGTCCTGGAGAGAGTGGATCTCTTTGGTCTTGCATGCCATATGGTTCAGACCATCCAAATTGTTCATGAGAATTCTCGTTAATGCTTTGTGCATAATCTGCACAAGGATGAGCATCCATATGTGTTTCTTTAACAGTTCCACTTGTGATGCTTTTCTTGTCAATAACTAATTTCTTCCCCCTTTGCCAATCTGATCCAGGAACATTCTCATCAATCAATGTCAATACATCCCTGTCTCCAGTCTCACTCACAGAAAAGCAAGTCACGATTGAAGTTGCTTTTCTCGCTAGTGAGTTCATTGAAGATGCTTTTCTTGCTAGTGAATTCATGAGATGAAATGGCTGTGCATGATCCAGTTCTGGAGAGGGTGGCTCCCTTTGGTCTTGCTGACCATATTCTTCAAACCATCTGAATTGTTTGTCAGAAGTCTTGTCAATGCTATGCGCAAATTCTTCTGAAATATGTAGTGTAGCATCTGCATGTGTTTCTTTTACAGTTCCACATGTGTTACCAGATTCGTTATCTTTTTCATTTACAGGCCCACTTCGGTTACAAGCTTCACTGCATTCTTTTTCACCGTATCCAATTTCAAAAATAATCGCCCCCCTTCCATTATAGCATGGAAACTCATCCATGGAGGAAGCTTCAAGCTCCACCGAGTTTGCCTCAACAGTTGCACTTCCATCAGTAGGTCTCTCATATCTCTCTTCATCATCCCAGGCATCTTCAGAGTCTCCATCTTTAAACAAAATCTCACCTGAATCACAATAGCAGGGAAGTTCATCCATGAGGCAAATTTGGACCGTCATGTTCTTCGGCAAGCTTGGACAACCAGCAGAATGCACTTTGTATTTTGTTGAGAAATAGTTTACGGTGATGTTCAAGCTAATCATGTACAGAGAAACATTCAGTATTTGATATATCAAACCTTGAGATGAAGTAATGTCTATTTTCTTCCACATAGAATTAGTCATACCTCTGCCAAGAAGGGAGGTTAAGCATTGTGTAAGCAAGTTTAATCTTGTTGGCAACTCCTGAGAAGGATTTAAAACAAGCAGCTGCCTGCCTGACTGCCACCGACTCTGTTGGGTGCTGCCATGCCCATTCAAACTGCAGGTTTGCATCCAACAACGTATTTCACATGTCAGCAGTTCGCACTGTGATATAAGTTGAATTCATATATAACCAATGACATAAACCGTACTCAAGATCTTAAAACTCTGGTCTTACAGCTAGAGTGGAGGAGTAGCTTTCTCAAGATTATACAACAGTTCCAAAGACTTTTCTATTTTTTTTTTTTTTTTTGAGCCATTTTGAAATACAGTTTTAAAGATGTATAATTAACATAATTTCTCCAAAATTCAAACAATCTTGGCCATAATTCCACATGCCTTCTGGGTACAACCTAACTGACGAAATAACACGATGAGGCAGTTCTTTTATTATTTTAGGCATAACATGATCAATGGCACATCATACCATCAGGCAGCAACCAACTTGCACAAAATGGTTAAGACATTCTGCTTAAATATTGATTATAACCTCTTGCTAGGTGAAAGGGTTAAAAAAAAACAGGAAGCTAGTGTCATAAGGAACCTAAACATGAGCAAGCAAATGCAAACTGCCAAAATCCAAAGCATGATGGCAAAGAGCAGTCTTAATTTCAGTTATAGGCTAGTAGAGAAACCAACAAAAGGCCATGGTTTTGAGGTTGGCTGAAAATAATCTACTCTTCGTGGACTCTTACAGGAAAATGATTTATTTTTTTAACTCACACACCCAAGTCTCCTAGCAAAACTAGCATGCTAGGATTTGAACCCGTGACCTCTTGTTGTTAGAGACTACTGGTTGACACAGGAAAATGATAAGCTGCTTCAACATAGTATAAGAATCTAAATCTAAGAGCAAATAACAGTTGAAAAGAACAAAAGAAATAACCTGCAAAGCAGCAACATTAGTTGGGAAGCCATAAATGCAGATAACCATTTCCCATGGCCTTCTTTTCTTTGTCCTCCATGCTCCACTTCTAAGCTCACCATTATGTTGCCTAATTCTCCTCCGTGGATTCACTGTAAATCTGCAAAAGTTCCAGCCCTTTCACACATAAAATAAATAAAACAAAAGGAGAAAAGCATGTCCTAGCTTGGCTAAAGATCAAATCTTTTTTATAATTACAAATGAAATACTCGAAAAGCAACAAACTTTGCCATTGAAAGTGGGTTTCAAGTAATTGGACAATACAAAAACCTGAAACAAAGATCATATAGACCCACAAATCAATCGATCACAACACCACCAATTAATCTAACCCTCAATAGATTGATAAAGAACAATAAACTTTGCGAATGAAATCGGGTGTCAAGTAATGAGGCAAAAGAAAAAAGGGATACAAAGATTACATAGACCCAGAAAAGAATTCATCTAAATACTTACAAACCAATCATAGACTAACCCTTTATAAACTGATTAAAAAAATCCATAAAATCAAAGAAGACACCAAAATCTTAAGATTCAGAAAGCAGAAAAAAGCGAAAGAAGGAATCAAACCCGATGTAGGTGTGGCCTTTGAATCTGGGGCAAAGAGAAGTCAAGAGATAGCAAGCGAAGAACCCATTTTTTCCATTTTCTGCTTCTCCTTCTTCTTCTTTTTCTTGAGGAGGATTTTTTTGGGTTTTTCTCTTTCTTGTCATTTTTGGGTATGAAGGATAAGGACCTGTCTGTCTATCTCTTCTGTTTCTCTCTGAGGAGTGGAGTTAGATGCAATTCGACCGTTAGTGTATGGGTTTTATAGATATTTCAAATTTTGAATACTATTTTAGCAAACAGCAAATATACCACCAAATTATTACGATATTATTAATTTTGTACTCCAACAATATTTTGTACCAATTTTACCACTAAACTATTTTAATTTTTTAATTAAGTACTTCTATTAGAATAATTAACAAAAAAAAATATAAATTTTGAAGGCAAAATTAATATAAAAAATTATAGTCGAGTGATATTTTTGAGATTTGCTTCTTCCTTTTTTAATAAGAATTGAATATAGACATTACAAGTAAGAGCCTTTCCAATATATAATATATATTTTTTTTTTTTATCGATTCTTTGTTCCTAAGAGTCGGAAATATATTGATTGTGAGAATTTTACGATGAAAAATAATTTACAAACAAAACAAAATTTTCGTTCAAAATTTATATATAAACTTATGTGTTAATTAAAAGAGTTAAAGTGTGGATTCCATAATTTTTAAACAATTGATTTCATATGAAAGAAAAAAAAAGAAAAATAATTGCCAATTTTATATTAAAAAAAAAATTGGGTTGGATATGGTGGAAGGATTCAACCATCCCGTCATCCAATGCAGATAAAACTCTTTTTTTAATATATAATTATTATAAACCTTATAAAACAAACCTAATTATTCATTATTTACCTTTTAAATAAAGTTTTCTTTATAGTTAAAAAATTTTTATCTTAATTTTTTTAATGCATATGATTATTCTTACAATACTATATTGCAAACCCTATAAAAATCAATATAAATTATAACTTCGCTTTATAATTGTAGTTTAATTTATAATAATTAATGTTTTTAATTAAAAATGTGTAAAATTAGTAAGTTAATGTCTCTTAGTATCATCTATATTACATCGATATCAAGTAATAAGCAGTATATGAAGTTAGATTTTTTATTTTTATTTTTTTGAAAAAAGATAGTAATTTCATTGATGATATAAATAAAAAAATACATCATTATTTTTGCGGCATAATGACACAAAAACTAAAAGAATTGCAATTAGGTACATTGAAAAAATTGGACAAAATCTTTTTACTATAATGATGAGTAATGATCTTCTAAGTAGTAAATGGTCTTTCTATGAACATTAACAAAGCTCACCGATACTTATCGATAAAGACCGTCAAAAATGAAATTTTTTTACACGTTATGCACATAATTGAGCTTGACACCACCATAAATCAACGAAGAACAAGCAGCACTACCGATCCCCATTAGCAAGAAATCTCATGATCATCCAAATTGCCAAAGAGTGTCAAACTCTTCCAACCAACAAAAAACACACACCACAACCTAGGAAAGACACATCAAAACCTTATTCGAAGAATAAGATATGCTAACAAAGTAGAAATTTTATACACAAATTAAATCTAAATTTAAAATATAGATCTAAATTGTTAACACACTAAAAATGAAAAAATAAAAAAGAGAATTAGAGAGATGAAGGGTTGCCACCGATGATAAGACCATCCACAATGGCCAAAGAGATGACTAAAAGGAAGGAAAGAGGATGGCTCGATGAATAATGATGAATAATGATCTTCTAAGTAGATATATAGTCTTTCCATGAACATTAACAAAACTCACTGATACTTCTCGATAAAAACCGTCCAAAATGAGACTTTTTTTACACATTGTGCACATAATTGAGCTTGACACCACCATAAATCAACGAAAGAACACGCAGCACTACCGATCCCCATTAGCAAGAAATCTCATGATCATCCAAATTGCCAAAGAGTGTCAAACTCTTCCAACCAACAAGAAACACACACCACAACCTAGGAAAGAGACATCAAAACCTTATTCTAAGAACAAGATATGCTAACAAAGTAGAAATTTTATACACATATTAAATCTAAATTTAAAATATAGATCTAAATTGTTAACAGACTAAAAAGGAAAAAAAAAAAAATTGCCACTGAGAGATGACTGAGAGGAAGGAAAGAGGATGGCTACAGGAATTATAAAAGCACTTAGGTAGTTAATATATGTTTTTTCAAGCACAAGATGTAAATTATATAATAAGTAATAAAAAAATAATTCAATATTATATAATACCTCTTTCTTATTATTATTGAGCCTTTTGCAATTCTTAATTGTTAATTATCCCATTTTATTTTACCATTTTGAAAGTCAAAATTTACTAAACACCGAAGTACCTATTGCGTCCTTTAGTTTCTTTAAAATTTACAATACAAAAAATGCAAGAGTAATTTAGACAACATAGGGCATGAAAAATTAAATAAAAATGCTTTATATCTCCTTAATTTTTTTTTCAAAAAAAAAAAAAAACAATAATAATAGGTCAGAGAGAGTACATGTTTCATGCACTATTAATGAATGCCAAAGTTATGGTTCTATTCAGCAGCAATCTACATATGCCCAGAATCACCAAAGCAGAGAACATGTATCCTTTGGCTACAAGGAATCACAATCTTTAAGATCAGGTGCATCAATGGCCATACAACCATTTCAGCAGATTATACTTACCAGCAGCAAAATACCAACTCATGGGTGAGAAGAACTGGAACAACAATGGCCTGAAGGCCCTTGACATTACACCATGCAATTTCGGTGTTTCTATAGGCACAAAGAGACATATAGACAATGAATCAAAAAGAGACATATAGACATCACTATCACCAAATGACAGAAGCAAATTGTGACCAATCCATATTTTCAGAGAATTATAGTAACTTCCCATCTGAATTCATGCATCTAATATATCATCAACAATTTTATAAATTTAGAAAATGGCAGAAAACACACAAATTAACATGGAAAATGGCATATGGAACAAACAAACACACATGCTACAACATCTATGTTAAGAAGCGTTTGGAAGACTCAAGCACTTCCATAGACAAAGTTAAAGGATCTTCAGTTCCAATTCTAAAGGAGCCTCATGATGTTGACAATCCACACTAGCTGTATAGGTCTCAAAATGTGAACTCTTAGCCCATTGCATATTGCAGATTACCATCCACTACACAGCCATTATCATCACCATCCTCCCACCACAAAATCATCTCAATTTCAGCACTTCTGATAAGACCTAGTATACATTACAATCTTCCTAATTATAACCAACATATTAACCTCTAACTCTTAAACAATCTCCCACACTTTCAAGTTCTCGACAGATTGGATCCGAGACACAAATTGAATTGCAACACAAACTATCAATAATCATTCTCCAAAAAACCCTTAAATTCTTTCCATACTATCACTGACCCATTTTAAACCAAACACTTATACATCACAGCACAAGAAACACATACAGAAGAACAGCATCTCATCACCAATACAACATAAAAGAAAAGATTAAAAACAACACATCATCTAAAAGCCATGAAGTTTTGATCCTTCATTCTTACTAAATGCTAGCACTAGCAAGTACAATTTCATCACCAATACAACAGCAGCAACATTACTATAAATCAGAGAACAGAATGTCACCACCGGTACCACATAAATGAAAAGACTAAAGAGCAACACAACATCTAAAAGCCACAAAGTTTTGATCTTTCAATCTTACTAAATGCTAGCAGTGGTTACAAGTTACAATTCCATCATCAATACAACAACAATGATTTCCAGATGGGGTTTTGTTTTTTCAATTGTATTACAGTAATTCACAAGCAGTACTGCTTAAAGGAAAACCTCAGAACATCAAGACACATTTGTAAATTCCAATACCTCCTACACACAAAGAACTCCAAAAAGCAGTCAACTTTCACGTTTTGAAGAATAACCCAATTGCCTCCACAAGTATTTCCCACTTGCCATATCCACCAATGTCCAAAACCCCATTTCCATCCCTGACTTTACCTGCACATTTTCAACCAAGAGATCAAAACTTTACCCAAAACAAGAAAAACCAGAAAAGACACACAACATGTATGATTGTTTCAGACCTTTGACAGTCGAGAAGAAGAATCAGATGGTTGAGGAGAGTCTGTTGTTGCTGCTGTCGGTTGTGGTGGTGGTGGAACTGTCGTCATTGCCACTGTCGGTGGTGGTGGTGAAAGGGTTGGATTTGAGGTTTCTGATAACGAAAAAACCAGCAAGAGTGGCGGAGAAGAATATCAGAATCAGCCTCAGTGGGCACATTGTTAGTACTGTGTGTCAAATTCAGAGATTCTTAACAAAAGTAATAATCTTTGGGTGTTTGTATTATCATTAAGAAGAAGAAAAAGGTGGGGTGTGATTCAAGTTTTGTCAAAATTTTGGTTTAGAGAAGGAAAGATAAAAGGATAGCCCATTGAACTTCGAGGAATAATTAAGGGAGAGGTGGGGTCCAAGGTGGCTGCTGCATGTGGTTGTCGCATTTAACCTAATCCTTAATCTAATAAATTATTACACATGTATCAGTTCAAGTGAGCGCAAATTATAAATTGGTCCCTAAACAATTAATTAGTCATCTTTGTTTCAAAAACTAATTTATTTAGTTTCTATATATTTAAATTTTCTTGTAATTTAAATTTTTCAAAAAAACTGATGATGTAAATAATATGTTTTTCCAAAGAGTTCAGGAGGTCATTCTATCAAAATAACTATGCTCTCAAAAAAAATTTAAATGATCACTCTATTCTTGATAATCAATTTTTTAAAATAATCATATTCACTATGTCAAGATAATTAGTCTTGTTAGAGTTATATATGTGATCACCATGTTAAAATAATCATTGTTTTCAGTAATATTTTTGTTCTTTTATAATTTATTTTGACAATTTATTTTAAGAAATAAAAAAATAAGTAAAAATACACATAAGATTGATGATAAAAATGATATTTTTTCGAATAAAATAATATTTAATTAAACATGATCAACATAATTATGGGACTAAATAGTTAGTTTTTAAAGAAAAAAACTGATTAATTCGTTTTTTAAAAATAGAGGGATTAATTTATAATTTACTCCCAAAAGTTGAGGGGTGGGCTGTGAGGGAATATTGTTTAATTTAAAGGAGATTGGGTGAAGAGATAATGCAATTCCAAGAGTGGGTTAGGCACGTTGCTCCATTCAACACTTGGATTTCTTCAGACAAGTTTTAATGGTGTAAAAAATTGACAAGTCAGCCATTGCCACATGGGTTGGATCCCATTTTTGGCTTCCCTTAATGCTAGAGATTGTGACATTTTCCAATTGGGATTTGACAATGGATTATCCAATACCCCATTGACACGTACAAAAATAAAACAGCTCCAAGTTGGAAACCTGCATCTGCCAGATTGGTCATTCTAGTTGATAGGAAGGAAAAAAGAAAAAGAAAAAGAAAAAAACAACTCCTTTTTTCGTTTTGGGGGGATTCTTTGTCAACCTATGACAAGTTCATTAAGAGAATCTTTGCTCGTGTTACAAACACAACTTCCTTCCTCGTATAATGTTTTGGATGCAAGTAAAAATTAGATACATTATTAAAATAAAATTATATATATATGAAGATATTATATAATTTAAATTTTTTTATTAAAATTTTAAGTTTTTTATATATCCAATTAAAGAGTTTTACTCTTATGTTATTATTGTTTCGGACCTCAACGTGTTATGTAACAAATGATAACTTATCACGTGTTATAATGGATCTAAATTAAACAATTAAATTAGTGATATGATAAACTATTATTAGTTATAGCATATACGTGACAAGTTATCATTGTTTATGTGACAAGTTAAAATTAGATACGTTATTAAAATAAATTTTACATATATCGAGATCTTATATAATTAAAATTTTTTATTAAAATTTTAATTTTTTTATATATCCAATTAAAGAGTTTTACTCTTATGTTATTATTGTTTCGGACCCCGACATACCATGTAACAAATAACGACTTGTCACGTGTCATGATGAATCTAAATTGGATAATTGAATTAGTGACATGATAAGTTATTATTGATTAGAGCGTATACATGATAAGTTATCATTGGCTAGAATGCGAAAAAACAACAAGACAAGAGTAGAACTCTTAAGATAGACAGGAAAAAAATTTAAGGTATCAATCAAAAAAATCTAAATTGTACAAGATCTCAATATGCATAAAACCCTTATTAAAATAACGATACGTATTGTTTCACATAAATATAATCTTGCTTGAGATTGATCAATGAGATTAAAAAACTTAATTACAAACTAAAAAATGATTTGAAATCCAAATTAAAATAAATAAATAAATTAGACTTTTTTTGTATTTACCAAAAGTTCATGATACTTTATTAGCATTTTGTCATGAAATTTCACTCATTCATTCAGTTCAGCATGTGCTTCTCATTCTAGAATCTAAGTTTTACCATCTTCACTGATTCACCCTTTAATTATGCCCTAATTATAAACTACATAGGCAGCTAGTGGTCCAGATAGGATTCTACCACAATCTCATAGTGGTACCATAGCAATTTTAATGTTCTTATCAGTATCATCAGATGCATAATTTAATAACAGCCTGGTTGTAATTCTCAGGTAAGAGCCAGCCCAATCACAACACTACGTAACCAATGCCCTCAGTTCAGTCTCTTTTTGTCATATATCCTGATTCTTTGAGACTTCTTACTCACCTAGCAAGCCATAGAGCCAAGAAGATCCTTCTTGGTCTGCAAAATATTTTTTCTTCTCAGGGCTTCAAAATAAAGATTTGTGGATGATCAAAATTTTCGTAAGAGCTGTAATTTGAAGAAGCAATTGCTGTAGAGAATTCTTCAGCTCTAAAAGAATCATCTTTCTGGCTGAAATGGGTAGGTTATTTACACCCAGCATGCAGATAATGCAAACTGCACCATTAAAACTGTCAATGAATTGTCAGGCTTTCAGCTTACAATGCCAACTCAAGAACATTTACACCAGCAACAAGCCATGCCCCGCAAAGATAAAATGAATTGTTCAACCACTCAAATATCGGTTAGAGCAAACCAAAGAGCTTGTAGCTCAGTGATAGTGATCTCTTGCAACAAGAGGTCACGGGTTTAAATCCTAGTAGATTAGTTTTACCAGGAGTCTTCGGTGCATGAGTAAAATATATATATATATATATCAGTTAGAGCAGGAAAGGACGGAAAGTAGGTCTAACATATAACCAACCAACCTATCTGCTCCATCACGGTAAAATGATGAGAAAATTTTGCCAGTTTAGTTCACCATGTCCAAATATGTGGCATTATTTGATTGGCCAGATCATGCCAAAACTCAAGATTACAAAATTACAAAAACATGTTTGACCAATAAAAGTACATACTGACTATGAACTATAGTTTGGCAGAACGAGCAATCTTAGAAAGCACTGTCCTTAAGCTTCAAATACCAGCTCCATATTTTGAGCTCACCATCATCTTAAGTAAAACTAAACACAAATTAATAAGATCACCATACATTTAAATGCATGTAAAACAAATTGAATTTGTTCAATAAAAAATGAAAAAAAAATGTTCATACCACATGCTGAACAAGAGACTCGTTTGCCTTGAGGCTCTGCAAAATTAAATGGACAGAAATTTTGTCAGTCTGAAGAGAGTTTAGATTTTAGAGAAAATTGTCATCTGTGTTTGTGTGCAAAATTCACCTCCACGATTTGCATCGCATGACGTGCCACATCAATGGGAAACACCAGATCTGTCTTTGTCATTATAACCTGGTATTTAGTCTGATATCTGTACAGGATAGTTCAACTTGGATGAATTGAATGTCAGGCCATGTGGGAATTTACAGCTAGAAGCATGCAAGATAACATGCATCCAGATACACAAGAATGGTAAAAAATATCAAGCTACAAGCTGTGATTTGTATCCCTTTCCATCAAATCGATTAGTTCGTGATCTCTTGGCTTCATACCTCATTTTGTGTCAATAAAAAGGCAATTCTTGTGGAAACATACTCCTTTACCTGCAGAGTTTAACAGTTCTTAAACAACAAGGTATATGACATATATATTCCAATAAAATTTACTCATGCAACCGACAGAACATGAAAGAGTGGAAAATTAAAAATGTTTCTTCAACTTCCATCATACCACTTCCTGCATGACTGCTAGTATAATATCAAATTCAGTGCCAAATGATCCTACTGTTTTGCTTTTAACTCTCAAGCCATAAGCATTTGTGTTGTATGTCGTAAATGTGAAAATATGGAGATAACAAAACCGGTCCTGCAATCTCTGGAAAACCAGGGGCGGGAATGAAGATGAACCTTTGCAGCAGCAAAAAATCTGTTAAAAGTAGTTAGAAGATAAGTCATTGGTTCATGTATATGTCCCCACAATTTTCTATGACTAGATTGATATGAATGGAATGATTAATTAAGCAATAGATAACAAAAAGACAGTCTCAAAGTGCGTAGTACAAACATACATTTTCTTCAATTCGTTCTCTCTCAAAACTTGTAGCCTGCTCTTTTCAGCTCAATAAAACGTCTACGGTCCAGAAACTGCCAACAAAATTACCTTGAGTTACAACACAGGAAATTATATAAATAAATCAAATTTCCAAACATCTGAAGCCTTTTTTCATGAAAAATACATTATCTTCTACAGAAGAAAGGATGGAAGATCTAGGTTGGATTGCACGGAATTGTGCATTCTTTGACATTCCAGCATCTTCCTCCAATTCTCTTTTCCACTCTATGGTCCTTTCTGAAAAGCAAGCAAGAATGAGTCATAGACCATAACAAACAGGAGGCAAAATTTAATGCTATAAAAGTTGGAAGAAAAGAAAAGAAAGTCATTGAAAATGAAAACTGCCATACCAATAAAACATACACAACTCAAACAAGTAAAATTAAAAAAAAAAAAAAAATTATGGTGCATATAGACATTAACCCAACACATTTAATGAGAGTTCAGTTGCTGAGCAACAGGCATTCCCAAACAATTTCAGATTAGGAAATGAAGAACACAAGACAGACGTAGGGATATAAGTCTCAAGTATAATCAATAGTGTAATGAGCTTTATGAAGCAAGACCACGTCCTGTTTAAAGAAATTAAAAGAAACTCACATTTTTCGAGTTCTTGGAACATCAAGATCAGTCCTATGTTGCTCTGACCTTATGTTTTACACTTGTCTGAAGTACTGCCTAATGAAGAGACAGAATAACGGATACTAGGAATGAACTAACAGTTATAAATAGCAAACATGGTGCTCTTCCTAATCCCTTTTGCCTCCTGAACGGTTTCCTTAAAATGGTGAAAGAAGCCTCTTGAGAAAAGCTGAATCCACCAATTAGATGCCCATTTTTCAATGACATCCACAAATCAATAGTTAACATTAGTTATTGTAGAAGAAGATGGCAACTTCTTTTACAAAGCACCAGAGTTTCCAACCCCATGTTACATTTTCCCAAATCCGAGTTCAAATGTTAGTAGATGAACTCGATAAAATTTGTACCATCAGAAATTATCTCATCATCAAGTTGCTTATTCGAGGTATCACAAAGTTCAAATGGCATCTCTCACTGTATCAGCCATGGATCCTCCATATTCTTGCAGGTAATGTCCTTAAAATTCACTTATCAAACTTAAGTATACCCAGTTAATATAATTAGCAGATGAACACAAATTTCCCATCCAAGCATTCAACAGAAGGAACAGTAACCACAATTCAAAGACAAACCAGTTGAAAAGAAAAAAATCAAAGACGAGAAAGAAATCAACTACTACTAGTTAGTAAAGTCGTCAAACGAATGAGAGAAGCTAAGAAAGAGCACTAACCAGAGTCTGATTGGAAATTTGGATGGATTTCTTGCTGAGGTTAGAGAAGATAGATAGCACTAGTACCCAACAATGAACGGGTTTTTTATATATACATTAATTGAACATCAAACAACAAAAACAACATCCAGCAACCCTATCAATCAATTGTTAGCATTTCCTCAACTTCTCAGCAACCAAGCAAACAACATCTTTAAAAACTTTAAAAAAGTTTTCTTTTTTAAAAATACTAAACATATATAAACAACAACCTTAAGCATACAAAAGCAAGAATTCTTTTCCAAGTAAAAATGAGTTAAAAAAAAAACCTTTCTTTGACAAATTCATTTATGGGTTCACTTCAAGTTTCAAACTTCATGAGTTTGTGTTCTTTCGTTTGTATTTTCACTTATGTTGACGCTGTGTCCGTGTGTCTCTGCTCTACTAGGCTACTGCTTACCAATCTAACAATGGTGATTATGGACTTCATGGGCCGATACTGTCTACTCATCAGAAAGACAAGAGGCCTAGCTAAGATACCATGCCATACCTTTTAACGTTGGACCTATAACTATACATATAATCTTAGGAATCATGAAAAGTGAAAAACAAAGGCCTTTTCACCGTAATTTTTTACTCAATATTAATTATATCTAATTTAATATTATTTTTATTTCATAAAAAAAAATTTTTCTCGATAATCTTTCTATACTTTAAAACAAAAAATAAAAAAAATTAAGTTACAACTAAATTTAAAAATATAGAGGTAGAATAATTAGTTTTTGAAATAAGAAGAAATGATTAATTAATTTTTTAAAACTAAAGAGACTAACTTATAATTTACTTACATTTCCCAATGTCCTAATAAAGACATATTGATTATAAACTCTATAGAAAATATAGAAAAATCTCAATGCTTCTATATCGAATTAAAATTTCAAATATCTTTACAAACAAATTTAATCAGATGTAGATATGTTATTAATAATAAAATTCAAATTTAAGATTGTCAAACTTACTATGGAAACCAATTTGTTAAAAAGATCTTCTTTGTTTATGGTAAACATATAATTCTTTTACGTATTACAATACATTTTTATCGGCATGCCAATACAGTTTTAGATTTTAAGAACTCAAAATATTTTCTTTCTCTCACGAATGATAGATTTATTGGGATGATGCAATCAAAGAAAATATTGTCATAATCTCAAGAAACATGGCATTTCACTATCAACATGAACCTGAAGGTCCAGGAATAAAACACGAGAACACTTGTCAACATACTTGGTTGAAAACTCATCCAACTATCAATTTATTTTGACTTGTGAAGATCATCTCAATTGAAATGCAAAATAAGCCTTCTCTTTAAAAATTTAACATGACTTCCTATTTAGTTTCGATATGGAAAGTCAGCCTCTATCTGCATAAACCTTTTTCCAAGTAAACATGGCATTTCACCATCAACATGAATCTGAAGGTCTTGGAATAAAACACAAAAACATATTCATTTTCATTGAGAAAATATGCATTGCGACAACAGGATGAGAACAGGATGATTCTAAAATACTGAAAAACACACAACATTCGGAAACAGCATACACCAAACTGCAAAAGTATACATACTTTATACAAATATGCAACAAGAGCCCCATTAACAATGTCATCTGAAAATAAACAAGCAAATTGGTTCCGAAAAAAATAAACTCATACCTCAAAGGTACGTGCAGTAGCATTCCGCTCCATTAAGCTAGGTTTAGAAACATTATTCTGATGTCTGCCGGATGTGGTTCCAGTATTAATCTCTTTGCTGAGATTAGCTGATAGATTAGGCGCATCCATGCCTTTTCCCTTCTCGTTTCTTACTGAAGGTACAGCAGTCTGATTACTCTCTCCTCTGACATTTGAATTAGATCTAACCAGTCATCAAATCCCACCCACGCATCACCCCTTTTCTTCTTCATCTCTCCAAAGCCATGGCAAAAGCACGTGGCAGCATCAGATCCACAAACCCACCTGCCCCACCTCCATCCGATGCTATGCCATCCTACCCGAAGCCTGCCCAACTCTCACGCCCTCCATCCACAACCCCTGCCACTGCCGCTGCTCTTTCTATCCTGGAGCTTGCTAGATCCGACCCACCACCAGCTGCAGCTCCTAAGCATCCCATGGTCACCCGTGCTAAAACAGGTCACCTAAAGCCTCGCACATTCTCCACCGTGGTTCCTCCAGCTGCTCCATCTTCATATTCGCAAGCTAGCTCAGATCCATAGTGGTGTAATGGCATGACAAGTGAACTACAGGCACTGCTTCCCAATGATACATGGGAGCTTGTCCCCTGTCAACCCAAATATAACGTCATTGACAATAAATGGGTTTACAAAGTGAAGACAAACTCAGATGGGTCTATTGATCAATACAAAGCAAGATTGATCGCAAAAGGGTTCAATCAGCGTCCTGGTGTTGATTTCGCTGATACTTACAGTCCTGTTACCAAGCATGTTGCTTTGCGTCTGATCCTCTCCATAGCAGTGTCTTTGAGTTGGATGGTTGAGCAATTAGATATATCGAATGCTTTCCTTCATGGTCCACTAGATGAAGTGGTTTACATGTCCCAGCCGAAAGGCTTTGTTGATCATCAGAGACCAACGCATGTTTGCAGGCTCAAGAAGTCCCTCTGTGGCTTAAAACAGGCACTCGTCAATTGTTTAAGTGCCTCACAGACAAGCTGCTACTGTCTCTGGGCTTCAAAGGCTCCCAAACTGATGTATCTCTCTTTTTTAGACCATCTGGGAAGGACATCACTTTTTGTCTAATTTATTTTGATGACTTGGTTATTACTGACAGCAATGAAACTTCGGCATCTTCCCTGATTGATGCTCTGCATACAAGTTTCCCAGTGAAACATATTGGAAAGCTTTGTTGATCATCAGAGGCCAACGCATGTTTGCAGGCTCAAGAAGTCCCTCTATGGCTAGGGATGCTAGTGGGCCGGGTACAAAATAGGTACCCCGGCCGGCCCGTTTATTAATTATTCTTTAAAAATATTTTAATGAACAACGAGCTAAATATGAGTAAAATAATAAGTATTTTTTAATGGATAGGATATGGGATTGGTTTAATGAGCTCGGTATCCAACCCATTGTCATCCATATCTATGGCTTAAAACAAGCATTTGTCAATGGTTTAAGTGCCTCGTAGACAAGTTGCTGTCTCTAGGCTTCAAAGGCTCTCAAACTGATGTATCTCTCTTTTTTAGACCATCTAGGAGGGGACATCACTTTTTGTCTAATTTATGTTGATGATTTGGTTGCTACTGGCAATAATGAAACTTCGGTATCTTTTCTAATTGATTCTCTGCATTCAAGTTGGCCAATGAAACATCTTGGAAAGCTTTGATACTTTTTTGGGATAGAGGCTGAATGGGGAGCCACTGGCTTGTTTCTTCATCAAAACAAGTATGCCAATGAACTACTGCTAAGAGCTAATATGCATCGGCCAATGGTTTTAGCACCCCTGCTTGTCCTACCACTAAGTTACAAACGAGTAGGTGGTGCCATATTTTTAGACCCAACTCTCTATCGCAATCTAGTGGGTGACTTGTAATATCTTGCCATCACTCGCCCGGACATCGCTTAATTTGTCAACAAAATAGCACACTCGCATGCACTCACCCTCGAAGCTCATCTGGATTGCCTTGAAGAGAATCCTGCGGTTCCTTCGAGCCACAAAGGCACATGGTTTATTGCTTCAAAGATCCTTTGATTTTTTTATTAATGTCTATACTGATTCCGATTGGGGTGAGGACATTGACCATAGCAAAAGCACATCCGACTATGCCATTTATCTTAGTCGAATTTGATTTCATGGTGGTCTAGGAAACAATGCACCGTTGCTCGATCGTCCACTAAAGCGGAATCTCATGCTCGGCTACGGCTTGCTTTGAGGTTGAATGGATTTAATCTCTTCGAAGGAGATTGGTATATCTACTATCCGACCACCAATTTGCACGATAACGGGGAGTGGTTGGTGAAAAATTCATTGGATTATCTTGTAGAGAGCCCAATTTGTCACATTTCTAAAACAAAGTCTATGCAAGTCTTTTATATATATAATTGAAGTACAAAGTAAAACCCTAGGTAGTGTCTATTTTAATAGAGGATTTTTACCATATTAGATTTGATTCTAAATGCTAATATTTGGGCTCTGAGTTTTTCACCAATCAAATGCTAATTAATTTTTTTTTGGCCGACATGGCTTTATAATTAAGTGTTTATTGTTGTTACATACAACCTAAACTAATGCTGGTGCCCACAACCACAAATTCATCTAGAGGCATAAATGGAGAGGGAAAAAGAAAACGTAAATGGCTCAATGTATCCTTATATGATTGGTTAAATTTCTAATATTATATCTTTGTATAATATATAATTCTTCAATAATTATTTTTAGAAATAAAAGAGACTAATTAATTCATTTATTGAAAATAGAGGTAATAATATACAATTTGCTCGTTTAGCAAAGCCAAATGTGGGCTTTTGTGAACTGAACACATGGGCCAGAAACTGGGCTACTAGCACGCCTAAATTAGGCCTGCATGGTCTTGCACCATAGTCCAGCGTAAATATTTATTATACGCCATAAATTGTATGATATATCTCAATGCAATCCGAAAACTTTATTTTTTCTCTATCAGCCTCTTCAAGTTTGAACTGCCTCTCTTTCTCTGAAAATTAAGAAACAACTAGAGATGATTTTAAATGTAGGTTTTGATATATAAGAACTCATGGATTATTTTAAACAATTAGAGAAGAATAGCATGCAATGAGGCAGCAGCAGCAACATTAATTGGGGCTGTTATACGAATTGGATTTCTATTTAAGGATAATATTATTGTCAAAATCAATCTTAACCTAAAAATTTCGGTTATTTGATGAAATTTAAGAAATAACTTTATATTACTCTCTAACTACTATTTTAGTTTAATTTATATTTTAATTAGTTGAGTTTAAATTCCAAAGCTATTTAAACATTATGTTTAGCATTTTTAATTTAATAAATAGATAACATTACTTAATTTTGATCTATTTATTATAGATTTTTTTCCTTCTAACTTGTAGAACAGGTTATTACTTTTAATTATTTTGCTTTTTCTTAATAGACTTGGCATGTAAAGTTTCCAAATAATTTTTCGTTGAACCAGTATATATGATTAATTTATAATGCTAGCTAACTCTCTCTTATTTGAAAATTTTTTGCATCACTCTTGCAATCTATTTATGATCTTTATCATGCATTTAATTAGATATCAATGAATTTTCTTTGCTCAATTATTTCAAACGTAGGCTTTAGTGCATTAAAAAAAAAAAAAGAATTAATTGAGGAGACTCAAGAGACCTTGACATTGGAGTGAGGTAAGTTGGTGGCATTGCACCTACCCTGATCAATTATTACAGATGTCATCTGCATTCTAAATTAAATTAATATTCATAATTGATTGTTAAATATATAACATAGAAATTATTGTATCTCCGGGATAGATAATATTGCATTGGAAAAATTAAATTCACATTAAATCATGAAGTGATCTGAAGAACCAATATTTATTTATTTCACATGGATTAGCAAACAGGGTTAAAAGAGAGGCTATTTCTGATGATAAGTGGAAAAATAGTTAAACTCAGCTCATCTCCTAAAATCATCAAATTAGCAATCAACCACATCATCATTGCACATTACAATGCTGCCCTTTATATATGTATGAAGTTATATGGTATATGCAAGTCTTTTTCTTTCGTTATTTCTTTTGTTTGTTTTTTCAATAATTGAAGATCCTACAAGACCTAAAGGCAGTTGTATGGCAGTGATAGGTCTTGAGATTTAATGTAGATCAAGCATTGGAATTGTTTGGTCTGTGTTTGTTTTCTTCAAAGTCTATCCTTTAGCCTTGAGCTTTATTACAAGTCATGGCCTGACCACTTTGAATTGTTTGCTTTTTTGAATGGCAGTGATAGGTCTTGAGATTTAATGTAGATCATGATTCATGCATGTAAAAGACTTATACAAAAGTGAGCAAGAGCTAGCAAGTTGTACACAAGACCTAAAGGCTGTTGTCACAGTATGTGGGCATCAATCTGCTAATTAGAAAAGACATCTATTGTTCTCCGAAACATATGGCACCAGGCAATCTCTTGCAGTATTGAGCAAAATATGAATAATTAAGCGGGTTATGCCAGTTTTAGGCATGTCTCAACTTTATGGTGCTAACCTTGTTGGCAGTCAAAATCTTGGCTACCGCTGTGGCACTGGCACTAAAGGCAAATGATGATCTTACAAAGAAGGTGCCGATTTCATGGTATGTCTAACGTACTTGGGGCATACATAACATTTTGAGCTGGGAAAATAGAGAACCATATAATAGGAGTTAAAGGTGCTTTTGTGCATTCCATCTAAAAGAATCTGGCCTAATTTCCACCGTATTGCTTCGTTTGTGGATAAGGTGCGATTTTGATAGGAAATTGAAGAATGGCAGTGATAGGTCTTGAGATTTAATGTAGATCAAGCGTTGGAATTGTTTGGTCTGTGCTTGTTTTCTTCAAAGTCTATCCTTTAGCCTTGAGCTTTATTACAAGTCATGGCCTGACCACTTTGAATTGTTTGCTTTTTTGAATGGCAGTGATAGGTCTTGAGATTTAATGTAGATCATGATTCATGCATGTAAAAGACTTATACAAAAGTGAGCAAAAGCCAGCAAGTTGTACACAAGACCTCAAGTCAGTTGTCACAGTATGTGGGCATCAATCTGCTAATTAGAAAATTTAACCCCAATGAGCACGATAACAGATTATTGGTTGGAAAATGGAGAAAAAGACCTTGATAGACTTAGGAGCCTGTGGAAAATGGGAAAAAAGGAGAAGCATGAAATACGGTTTAAGAAAAAGAAATATAGTGGAATACGTGTGGGCTCAATTGACTATCCACTAGACTTTGATAGACTTACGAGCCTGGGGAAAATAAAGTCTTGATGTTTTTAGAAGCTTACTTTTTATGTATGTTTGTGCAAAATTATTCACCATCAACAATGACTTTTCTTAAAGAAGTAGACATAACTTTCAAAAAGATTTTATTTAAAAAATTAAGCTTCAACTTGTGAATAACGAACGAGAACAGAAATCAAAAGCCAAAATGAGTTAACTTCCATTAAACAATTAGATATAATCTCACAATTATTATGTATTGGTAACTTTATATATATATATATATATAGAGTGAA